CGGGCTGAAGAATGAATCAAACGGAAACGCTCGCGGCCACCGCTTTGAATGCAATGTTCAAATCCAACACGCAAAAGACAGCGAGCGTCGCGTAAGTTCAACGGAAATGAAGTGGCTTTTGTTTTCATTCGCGGTTCAGTTGAAAACACTGGAGGGGGAAGAGGACATTGGGAGAAAAAAAAAATCGCAAAATTGAGGAATTCAAATCTGTTTTTGTTTTTTTTTTTCTTCAGGGAGGGTTGTTTCAAGTCTCATCATCGGACGATCGATGGACAGATCGATCGCTCGAGAGATTTGGTGACAATTTTCAAAGAAATATTTGCTCGAATACCCACAAATGTCGGGAGCCGACGTGTTCGTCAGGAAACAAAATGACAATTGTCTTGGATTGAAGCCCACGGTCGTATTGAGCCCAGCCCACGTCGCTCGCCTTCTTCAGACGGCAAACGAGCTCACGGAGCCAAAGTCACATTTTGGATCAACAAGAGAGCGTTTCTTGAAGGCCGCCTTCCAGTACATAGCCAGGCCCCCCGACTGGCTCCGTCCGCTTCCCGCCTCTCCGTCGGGCAGGCACCCCGACGTTTTGGTGTCGAGTTAACAGTGCGAGCGAGTCATGAAGTAGTGGAAAGCATCAGCTGAGGTCATGTGCTGACAAATTTGCGGCGGCATCGGTGGCGGGGGGGGGGGGGGGGCTTGACTTGGGGCCCGGACATGAAAGTCAAATGCAGCCGCGAAACAGAGAGAGACTCTGGCTGGCGTACGCGCCGCCGCCGCCGCCGCCGCTGGGAGTTGTCCCAGGCCGTGGCACCTCCCGTCCATTATGGCCCAGCTTTTGGCCTTTCCAGCGTGCGGCGGGCGGGAGAAGGAGCGCCGGATGCCTTTTCAAACCGCCAGAGCTGTCATTATAGTCTAAATGCGGCACGACACAAGTCCTGCCAGCTCCAAAAGGTATAGCGGCGGCGGCGGCGGCGGCGGGCGGCTGGCCGCTAAGCTTCAACCTCGTCAGAGTCTGCTTGCTTACTTTGCACAGGCCAGAAGAAAGAACGACAACATACGGACTTTCGGGAGGCCCGCCCGAAAATTTCGCCGAGATCACCGATTAATCGGCCGTCAACTTTTTTTAAAAAACATCATAGCTAAAAAAAAATTTAAAAAAAAAGCAAAGACACGAATAACAGACAGAACATTTGATTTTGTCCTTCTGTATTTAACTCAACACCAGAGAGAAAAATGGGCCAAAAGCTGCCATTTTTGCTCATTCTTTGTATTCTCTCCGTTTGTTTTCAGAACGGGCGAGTACTGTTACGAGCCTTATGTTAAGGTATCGACTACATTGAGGCTCTGATACCAGCCACAGATACTTAAGAGAATACAAAACTTGAGGTAAAGCAAGTTTTCCCCGGCAGTAATCGGCGCGACACTGCGCAGTCTGACACGTCGGCAAATCATCATCTGACTCAGAAGTTGTTGTCGTCATGCTAAATGGGATTTAAGAAATCCAAAGTAGGTATCAGTGTACTTTGGAGTGGTGAGTACTCGAACAGTGACTGCTCTGTTGAAAAAAAAAAAAAAGAGGGATCGAACATGCTTCGTTTGTCTCAATGCCATTATCTTATGTTGTCTCGAGTCAACGTGGGGGACAAAATGTGGAAAGGTTGTCACAAAATTTGGGGGGGAAAGCGCTGATAATCCATGAAACTGGCGAGCAAATGGGAGGGGCCAGAGCCTAGCAAGGACCCTGTTGATTTTTCTCAGCAATTTCATTGGATCCATGCGATGGCTCCTCTCGCTTGTTCCGCCTTGTGCAAAACAAATAATCAAGGCGGCACGGTGGGCGATTGCTTAGCCCGTTCCGCCTCGCAGCGCAATTCAGGCCCCGCCTTCCCGTGTGGAGTTTGCCTGTTCTCCCTGTGTGGGGTTATTTTTTTTCCCCGGGTGCTGTGCTGTGCTCCCCCCGCCCCCCCCCTACATTTCAAAAACATGCATGGTAGGCTGATTGAACACTCTACATTGTCCCTTGGTGTGATTGTGAATGTAAATAGTTGTCATTTGTCGATGTGTGCCCTGCAATGGGCTGACGACCAGTTCAGGGTGCCCCCGCCGCCTACTTCCCGAAGACAGGCTCCCACACGCCCACGACCCTCGCGAGGAGAAGCGGCTCAGATAACAGACGGAAGAACGGAAATAATCCACAAAATAAAAAAAAAAAATTTAAAAAAACAGTCCATAGAATAAAAGATCCCGAGAGGTCACCCTGGACAAGCCAAATATTTTCTCTCTGGCCGCGTGCTACAACAACAGCGTAGCTAACTATACGCTTCAGGTCATCACATGCATCAATCATACGCATGCGAAAGAAAAAAAAAATTAAAAACGGTGTCATTATAAGCGGAGAGCAAACATGGGCCACCTCCAAGCGGTCGCCGGCTACGCTAGGGCAAACCTAAATAGACTGCGTGCGGTTTTCCGACGTAAAGCCGAGCTCCGGCGCTAGCGCGTGGTCGCCGGGCGGCGCCAAAACGGCCGCGGAGGAGGAGAAACACGAGCGGGAGACATTTTTCATTCCGCCGTGTGTCACTCATGCCACAGCGATGAACTGGGTGGACGCGCAAACCTTGATAGGACGCGCCCATGCTTCATTGGAGGTGGACAGATGCCATGTGACGCAAACGTGCTACATAAAGCTTTCAATCTTGTGGAAAGACGATCCATTCGAGGGCTTTTGACAGTCAACATGTAAATATGCGACATTGACAAATTGAATGGGATGTAAATATGGTATTTTTGGTGTATAGGTCGGGATATCCACATATCTATGTCTATAAATATAGATACACTCACACACACACACACGTCACATAGGGGCACAAGAACATCAGACAGGACGTAAAGGTGCATTTACATTCCGTGTACATTTGAGACACGCTGACATTAAATATGGTACAAACAAATGAAATGGCACAATTCCGGCACACTAGGGGTGCGGAATATGATGAAAATATGGTCTTCAGACACAATGTAAAAAATGCCACATCGACATTCCATCGGACGCATTCCGTTTGAGGTCAAGATGGGAACCAGGAAGGGAAATATGCTACGTCGGCGGAGCATTTCATATGTAAATAGACACATCGTGTCAAGGCCATTCAATATGGAAATCACAATCTTCTGAAAATACAGTATGTCGATATTCTTTTGTGCTGTGAATACGTGACACAGATATGATATATGATGAGGAATATGGTGCATATGACGTGTATTGGGCATGACGTACGATGGAAGCAGGCCACATAGACACTCCTGTGATGTCAATCGACTACAGGGGACCGAAATATCATGGAAATATGGTACACTAGAAATGTTGTGTCATTTTATACACACACAAACACATGTACACATGATGTAAATATTGTACTTGAAATGTCCATTCGCGAAACAGGATGTAAATATGGGCACACAGATTGTCCTTAAATCTGATTTCAATATGGAACAGGGGTGTTTCAATGTTGTCGAAATATGCCCTTGGCAACAATGGGATGTTGGCTTACATCTGCGCAGAGATGTAAACACACCACATTGCTCCTACGCGGGCACCTCATTGGGCACCTGCAATGTACCTGCTAAGCTATGCTCAACTGAGCAAATCAAAACACTCGAAAAGTGCGACTGCACGCAGGTCCACACACACATGCACACGCGCACACACAAAGCCAGCACTCTTTTACATTGTTTGTGCCTCCTGAGGTGATCAATGTGGCCTTCTTCCACGTTCGCAGATCCTGACCTCCATTTGGAGACAGGGACAAAACTGCAAAGGTATGTTCTCCACGTGTGCACATAGCTCAAATATCAAAGCGCTACGACAAACATGACAACCGTTTCAAAGCCTTATCGGGCTTCCCGTCAAATATTTGTAAAAACAGCATCCCGGATTTACGGGGCACGTTCAACGCGACCGCAGCCAAGTCCATGAGGCAAAAGGGAAAAAAAATAATCATCAATTGAAATTCGAAGCTCACCGCAACAAAAGCCATCCACCTGAAGGCACCATTGAGTACGGTGTGATCAATGTAAATATGGTACATTTGAGGTACAGACAGGCTTTAAAGAAACATCAGAGGTGCATCCCTTAGCCTACGTAAAAAATGGCTCCATAGACATAAATATTGACAGAAGTAACAGTACATATGTGCATTGTCGTTGAATATATTGGTACATCACGGGTGGAGAGATGTTCAAGATGACAAAAATCTTGCACAGCATTACGTTCGTTGGAGGCCTAAACGCTGTAATGTGTCTTAGTCATCATATATGACGTCACTGTGGTATTTTAGATTCATATACATGTTAAATATTGTGTGAGGATGGTTAATTGGGCAGTCTGGTTATTCAATGTGATGTCAAGAGGCAATCATTGGAGGCGTAAAACGTCGGGAGGAAAAAACGAGCATTACAACCCTTATCAACTACACAATCAGGCTTGGGTACATATTTATCTATCCATCTATCTTGATAGATGGATAGATAGATGGATAGCTAGCTAGATAGTTGTCAAACACGAGATTTACGAGGCACTCTCAACGCAACGTTGAGCAAGAAGCGATTTTTGAACACGGTGAAGTTAGATTAAACCTTGCGCACCTGAACGCACCATCGTGTTTCCTGCGTGCAACGCCGGAAGTAGAGCCCCCTTAAAAAAAAAAACTCCCAAACAACAAACAAACTTTTTTGCACCACGCAAAACAACACGTGCGTGCACCCAAAGTGCACGAGCCACTCAAGATAAACTTGACAAACTTTTGGTTGGATAACAAACGAGCAAAAAAAAAAAGAGTTGCTAGCGTGAATGAATTCCTCCAGATAGGAGCCATCTTGTGACCACATTGGGGCTGCAAATTCGTCTCATCCTCGCACACGCACCCGCACGCAAGCACGCACGCACGCAGTCACTCCTGTCAACCTCCGCCAAGGAGAAGTTAGAAAGCAGACTTGACACGTACTTGGACGATCTCCCCCTCGGCGCTGATGGTGGCTCCAGCCCTGGAGAAGCGTCCCTGCAAGCCCGTCGTGTACGTGGTGTAATCCCCGTTGGCGCTGGATTCGAACAGGACCACCTCCACATAGGCCGTATCCTTGGCGAGGGCGACGCGGGGCTCGGAGGCCAGCACGGCGGCGAGGAAGAGCAGCGCCGCCGCGGCCGACGAGCCGGGATTGTGGTAGTGGTGCTGGTGCGGGGGCTGGTGCGGGTGCGGGTGGTCCCGCTCCGAGCCGCCCCGCCACGGCGCCACCATCGTCGGCATCAGCAGCAGCATCGTCCTGGTAGTCGTCCTGGTAGTCGTCGTTATCATCTCGCCGGCTGGCTTTGCGGCACCGAGCGGAACGGCATGGCCGACGCGAGGCGAGACCGTGATGCGATGTGCCGAAATATGATTTTTTTTTTTTTTGTTTGTTTGTTTTTTTCGGGGGAGGGGGGGTGGGGGAGACGAGGAGCGAAAATGTGCGGAAACGCACCGGGGGAGCGTGTTTAGTTCACCGAGAGTCTGTCAATGACACTGGCTGCCTCTCAAGCCTCCTCCCCCGCTCCGTCCCTCTCTCACCCATTCCTGCTCCACGCCCCCTCCCCTTTCTTTTTCACCCCTCCCCTCCTCCCCTCCTCTACAAAGCGTATCTCCTTTGATCTCAAACACGTGATTTTTTTTTTGTACTTTTTTCTTCTCTCACTCCCAAAGGCTTCTGGCCCCGCCTCCTTTCACGCTCAAGTCGCAGCACTCGGCTCGTTAAAGAGGCACTCTTCGGCAGTGACGTCACCTGCAGCCAAGTTTGACTTAGTTCAAGTTTCCTTTTGGAATAACCGGAATAGTTTGTCAATATGATGATAGGTTTTATGAACGCTCGAAAATGTCCCGAGGGGTGATTGTGCGAGCGATTGGTGGCGAGTCTCTGTGTGCCCTGCGATTGGCTGGCAACCAGTTCAGGGTGTCCCCTGCCGACTGCCCGAAGACGGCTGGGAGAGGCTCCAGCACGCCCGCGACCCTCCCGAGGATAAGAAAATCAGATAATGGATGGATGGATGGATGTTTTTATAAATATATATGTATATGTATAGAGATAGATAGAGAGAGAAAAAGAGAGTGTGTATATACAATCACAGTATGTCTTCTAGCTCGGTTGTCCCAAAGCTGCCGTTCCACCTTAAAAAAAACTTGACCCAAACAGGTCTAATTGTCAACAAATGACTGCAATTGAGAGTGAGGGAGAGAAGTTTGACTTTATTCATCTTTTTTTTTCATAACAACAGGAATAGTTTACAGATAAACTGTAACATGTTGTAAGTAGTTTGGCATGTAAGCGTTTTTCCTCATCTCAAATTTCAACTTGACCTGCCGTTCTACCTTAAAACAACCATCAAACTGGGCTAATTACTATAAAGATGAGTGAAAGGAATGGTCAACTCATTTTTTTTCATTACAATAGTACGTTCTACACACACACACACACACACACACACACACGCACACACACGGTATTATGATTAATATTGTGTTTGTGAAATTAAGACTTCAGCAGAAGAGGCCACAATTTTTCATCCATGTCAGGGGGCGCAGAAGGGCGGCAAATAGTCTCGGACAAAATACGCAGTGGACTTTAAAACTTCGACCGGAACATTTGACTGAATTCAGGCTCTTTTTCATCCTAATAAGGAAAGTTGACGAATAACGTCATCGGTGAGCACAGACAGTTGAAAAGTTCACTCAGGCGCGATGATCCCACTTTTTGAAGAGCACTGCCCTCTGCTGCACGATGGAATATGACACACTTGTTGCAAGAACACACGCTGTACCTTTATGCCCATTGTTTTGATGACGAATGCTAAGCTAACCCTTTTCCCAATATCGGTGCCAGGCTCACGTCTATCCACATCTGTTAGTATTATCAATGATAAAGCAAGCTAACCGTCATGGGTCATCGACTGCGATCGAGGCTGACTGTCACGCCTTCTCGTATCGGACTGGCCATGTGGATTCCTCCTTTCGCTCTCTCTCTCTCTCTCTGTCTCTCCATCCATCCATCCATCCATCCATCCATCCATCCAACAACATTCCTTAATGACTCGCAATAAACTGACATGTATTTTAGCCCACTTTCAGTGCACTGGACTTGATTTGTGTTCACTGGACTTGTTGTCCCACTGCTGCTCCTTTTAGCGCTCGACTAAATGTTGTAGTTACTCCTTTTAAGCACCAGAGGGCAACACGATCGCATGACAATATAATTTGCCATTCAGCCGGGAGCCGAGGAATGAATGGCCAAGGAAGGCAGGGCAGGGCGAATGGAAAGGACTGAAAGACTGATAGGATGAAAGGCAGGAAGGATAGAGGGATTCAATCAGGAAGAAAGGAAGCCAGCAAAGACAAAGGACATAAGAAATGGAGGAAGAGGGGAGGGTAGGAAGAACCCATGGAAGGACGGAAGGGGGCTCACTGCCACTTTGAAAGTCTCCACTAGGTCAATATACACGCAAACCCACCCGCGGAACCCTAACCCAGTCTAGAAAGCCTAAGTTGGGCTCAAAACACAAATCTTGAAAGTTTCAGACGGGCTTGAAAGCTCCCTTTGAAAAAGAACCATTCGTTTCATAGCGGTCGGGGTTGCTGAGACCCAATCAAGCGTCGGGAAAGTGTCACTGAGTTATGTCCATCCAGGGCTGTGGGAAACCCACAGGTCCAGCAAACAACACCCTGGTGCATTGTGGGTCGGGAGTAGAGTGTGAATTGTTGGGTCAACAAAATGGGCCTCAAGCCCTCGTATTTCTCCAGCTGCGTGCTGTCCCAGGGCATTGACACAAAACCGTTCCGGTTTCTACCCGGGCGTGGCTGTTGTCTCCTGAGAAGGAGTCGTCTCCGTGCCGAGTAGCTCTTCATTCAATCAACAGCTTTGGCCAAAGCGTTGTGCCTTTTACCCAAATATTTCACCACTTCAACTCGAGTTGAATGGAGGACTCGTCCTCTCATGATGACGCTGGCTCCCAGGCAGCGAGCTGGAGTGTCCATTTTAAAATTCTGCTACTTCTCTAGAAATCACTGAATGGTTTGGATGGGGCTCTGAGGTCTGCGGACTCGGATCAAATAGGTTTCCAAGCAAACAGGAAACATGAGGAAGCAGCATTTAGCTGTTATGCTGCACGCAAGTGGAAGAAGCTGCCAGCAGGAGTGAAGTCAGCCCCAAGTGGAAATGCTTTTCAATCCAGTTGAAAAACGACAACGCCCCCGCCCCCCAAAAAAATAGGTTTCATTAAGGTCTTTGAAGCATTTAAAATCAATCTTTTTTTACAAAGCTACTTTTTATTTCTTGACCTTGCTTTTAAAAGCCTTGAGACTTTTTTTTTTTTGTATATGCGTTGAAATGTTGTTGATGTTCATTCTTTTCGTGATTCTTAGAACGCCACTTTTGATCCGGTCGCTTTGCCGTTGCGCGACGCACACCGAGTTGCCCGGTGTCGGAAATGTGCTGGAGAAATAAAGTGGCTTTTCCTCGCTTACTCTCCTTGTGTTAAAAATCAGATTATTGGCATTCCAAACGTATCTACTTTTTATAAATATTTGAATCCTCTCACTAGTATCAAATGTAATATTTACAGTTGGGCAAGTAGTCAATAGAATAGTGGACTCCAGCGTTGTCTTAGTTTTGTGTGACTTTCAAAATATTTGACTTCGAGCCTTTTGATTAAATGCAGTCATAAACCTCGCCAACTGGCCAGAAGAGATGACACTGACTGTTGCCAGGAATGCAGCCGGCATGTGGAGTTTTTCATACCAAGGGCGTAGATAATGTTGAACATTGCAGGGTCTTTTTTAAGAGCTTTTTTTTTTCCAAAACATGTGACTAGTGTACTATACATTTAAATGACAAGTATTTTTCTATTTCTCTTTTGACACCCGCTTAGTTGCTTTTGGGATTGGCCCATTGCGGGGAAACGCCCTCCCTTTAATCACATACACGCCGACTTTGAGCCCCAGGGAGGATCTCCACCTCTGTTATTTGCATTTGTCTGTGTGCGAGCGTGCACGTTGAAGCGGCCATGAAATGCTCACGCTCTGCACTTAACGCTCAACTCAAGTGAAATGGACTCTCTGACCAAAATGGTAGGGGACCTGCTTTTCCAACGTGAAATAACCGTCAACAAAAATGTCAATCGAGTTAAAAGAGTGAGCTACAAATGCTAAAATGTGAGAGCTAGTTAGCGTTGTAGCGCTCAAGGACACTACAAATGGAAAGGCCTCATTTTTTTTCAAACTGAAACAACAGTTTCAACAAAGTAAAGAGTCAAACTGCGAGCTACAACTGCTAAAGCCTGTGTTAGCTAGCTAGCATTTCATCTGTAACATCTGTTGCGTCAGCGTTGGTT